AGCTCTTGCAAGCCTGCAGCTCTGGATTTGGGAGGACGAGATGGGGTTAATATGAAATGCTTGGTTTTAACAGTATAATGTGTAACCCCATAATGACTTTAAATATTGATTATTTGAAGGCCATTAGCGCTTATTGTTAAAGAAAAGTCAATACTTTTTAAGCCTTGTGAACCATTTGTCTCCTGTTAAAGGACATATCAAATTTAGCAGCATGCAGTGCAAATCCCCTAATACCCACACAAGCCTCCAGCTGGCATGTATGCATTTAAAAAAAAAAGGGAGAAAGATGCATGCAGAAGTGTTCTCTGCAAAACAAGGATGGGGCTTAACAAGTGTAATTGGGTTCGGGCTCTCAGGGGACAGGGCTGGTACTCTGCTTTCTTAGTCCTTGCTCCAATGGGAGTTTTACCTGGGTAAAGGCTGAGTAGGGGGTCTCAGGATTTGGCCCAACTTTTTTGTTTTTAAATTGCATGTTTCGAATGGAGCACTGTGTGAAGGAGGCCTTGGCTATTGGTTGGGCTATGGACTCTCGCACCCCGAGTGACTGGTTTAATATAATTCACTATGATCCGGCCTGTTTAGAAATAGCTGATGAATCTCTGTCTAGGACTAGTGTGCAGGTTTCCATAACTTGAGCCCTGCGTGGATACAAAATTTGTATTCACATCTGTATCTGCAAAAATGAGCCACAGATATCTGCCTCAACCTCTGCAGATGCAGATACCCAGCTATATAAAGTAAATATCCATGTATTTGCAGGGCTCTATCCATAACCCCAAATCTGCCCATACAGTTGGGTGTTAATTTCCCTGCTTGCCACCGCTCTTAGCTAGTGATCTTTCATCCTTGCCAGTGGCCCTCCGGGGCAGGGTTGGAGCATAGGTCTTATGGGAGCTTGCGGTGCCATGCTGCCTGTTCGTGAGTACAGAGAGGGTTAAGTTAGGACTAAAGCAGGATTCCTGTTCATAGCGGTACAGGTTGAAACTCTCTAATCCGCCTCTCTAATCTGACAGTGTCCGTGGTCCGGCATGATTTGAGTTTGCCACATGTCCACTTAGCATGAGTGTGGTCAAGTTTCCTGTGGTCCCATAAAGTTTGTTTACAGCCCCTAGTCCTGGCTCTTAGTGTTCTGTGCTGTTATTTAGCTCTAATATACCCCTAAATGTCTTCTAAGAGCCTAGTTAGCAGTAGAAGGGTTAGTAATCTTGCTAGACAATATTGACCTCCCTTGGTCCAGCAAATTCACTGATTGTGCGGCCTGCACCCAGGGCTGATGTGTGTCCCCATCTCCTGGCCAGATGCCCCCTCCTGTGTTTATAAAAGGCAGGGAGGCCGCGCAATAGTTAAAAGCTACTTGATTTCCTAAATTGCTTCTTATAAAACGAACAGCACGTCTGCCAGGCTCGTCTCCCCATGATTACGGCTAATTACGATCGAACCGACACCTCCTAGCCCCTGTCATGCCGCTTTAATTGTCCGTTATTCATCTGCAGGCTGTCCGGGGTGGCAAAGCACTTGGCAGCCCAGCGACCGAGGCCTCAGCTAATTGTGAGGCCTCAGGGATTAGGGCCGGTGATTACACACTTCATGGTGTAATTACATAAGCATCGCTTGGCTGCTGCCCCAGCGCTGAGCCGAAGGTCACGCGCTGCGTTACCTGAGATTAATTGGAGCTGCCACTGAAGCGCGAGGCGCTGGCGGAGCGGTTATACGATTAGCATTAACATTTCAACAGCGACGGATCGATCTGTGGCTCTCCTCCAGACACAGCGAGCTGTGCAATTAGTTTAGAGGAGAGCCGCGGGGGGGGGGGGGGGGGGGGGGAAGGGCAAGAGAGACTCAGACAAAAAGAGCTAGAGGAGAAAAGGAAGAGACAGACAGGGAGGCAAAGACAGATGGGAACGGGTGGGGGCAGGGCAGTGTGTTTCAGGGAAATATTTCATTCCATCCACTGTTTTGGAGCTGCGTGCGTGTCGTGGCGTTGGTGCTGATGAATGGAGAGCGAGCGAGCCCTTTCAGGGAGATCTAGGGCGAGGTGGAGGAGACGTCCCCCCTTCCCCTGCTCTTGGAACAGGTTCGGAAATCTGGCATTGCACAAAAAATGATCAGCAGCTCCATCTGTGTGAACCAGAGTGATCGTTCATCCACAGCAGTACGGGCGCAGGGTGGGGGGCCGGAAGACCCCCCGCTCAAAACACACACACACACTTTGTATGTTGTGCTGTCACACACACACGCTTCGCCTGCCCCCCATCCTCCCCGAAGCAGTTTTTGCGGGAAGATGCTGTAAATGAAAATAAACAGCCCAGCGCCTGACTCGCCTCTCGATGCCCCGGTGAAGGTAATAATGTTCTAAGTGGCCATCAAAGGGAATTAAGAGACGTGCAGCCGGAAACCAGAGACTTGCTTGCAGGCAGATTTGACTAATGGAAAAGACCTTGGCTCCTGTTTGCTTCCTGCGTCTTCCTTTTTACCCTTTTCTCCAAGCGGGTTTTACCTGGCCTGCTCTCTGGTTGTGTCTCCCTCCCCTTTGCCCTGCCTTCCATTTCGGGTACCATTAGCTCAGTCAAGGCTAATGTCAGTGAGCTGGATTGTCACCCTGCATTATGGTCAGGCCTGGGACCCCACCACGGCACTGCCATGTAGCCAGCAGTGCCCCCCGGCCTTCCAACCCCCTCTCCTTCTCTGCCAATCCTCTTCAAGACCCGCCTGCAGTGAGCCCAAAGCGCCTGGCCCCGACCTACAGCGCGACTCCAGCCCCCACAGCTATACAATGCCTTGTCGCCTGTCACAGCGTCACATGTGCTGCGGTGAAAGACAAGTGCTTCAGTGAGGCTGTCATGTGCACCCCTTGCCCAGCTAACTCCCAGCCTGCACCCCCAAGGAGCCAATGCTCTCAGCGTGGGAGGGTGGGAAGCCAGTGGCGTTGGTTTAATTCCCCTGCGTTTTATCCCCTCCGGTGTCGTCTTCAAGTTTTGCAAACAAAAGAGTGAAATTCAGCCGAACACCTGCCGCGTGGATAGCCTTCTGGGTCTCCATTCGCCCTGGGGTTCAGTTCTGGGAACAAGATGGCAGTGGGGGTACGGGTAACGTAGGAGCTGATGCTGGGAGCCGTCGTGTCCACTTCCTCCCCACTTTTGACACCCGAATCCTGGGAGCGGCTGTGACCTCTTGACCGAACTTCCCTCCACGTTAGGGCCAATGAGACTATGTCTGCAGCTGGCAAAGGCGCTTGGCACCGTGTGGGCAGAAGGCTCATGTCCAGTGTACCCGCTAATCTTTTCCAGCCATGTGCGGATTTTTTCCATCTACGTGTGGAATAATTTTACGTGCACCGAGGCATGTGCAAATGTGCACCACCAGTAGAAACACAAACCTAGCTGGGGGCGCTCCACTAATAAACCAGGTGGCATTGGAACTATTCATGTCCTGTCTGAGACTGGGGCAGCTGTGGCTGGTGTCTCCTCAGGAATGGGGAAGTTAAAAAGTGTGTATTTGTATAAATGTGTAAACACACGGGGGCAGGTGGGACCCAGTGTTCGTGCCTGCCCTCGACATGCTGCTGCCTCTGTGGAAGGCAGCGGAGGAGGGGAAGAGGTGGCTCCATGGAAGCCAGCACATGTGGAGAGCTGGCTTAAAAGCTGGTTCTCTGCACCTGCTGCTGCTGTGCTGCTTCCGCCTGCCCTCCCCTCCTCCTCCTGCTGCTACCTCTGATACAGAGGCAGCAACACAGAAAAGGGGCAGGGAGGAGAGTCAGCTCATAGGGACCCAGTATGCACAGGGAGCTAGCTTGAAAACTGGCTCCCCGCATGTACCGGCTCCCACCTTCCCCCTCGCCCCCCTGCTGCCTCTGGGAGGCAGTGGGTGTGGGGCAGGAAGCTCTGTGGTAGGGGGCTTAAAAGTTGGCTCCCCACTGGCACCTGCTCCTGCCTTCCCCCGACTCTGCTACAGACCGGGGGAGGGGTGCATGTAACCTTTAGGATTAACCAATGAGCCACGGCTTATCAGTTACACGTTCACATCCTTAGAAAGGAATGGGCAGCTCCTGGCCTGTCCCTCAGCCACTCTGCTTTGTTTCAGTTCATGAAATGTGTTTTCCGGCGCTCTGTGGCCATTGCAAAGCAGGAATCTCTGTGGAGCCGGAACAGCAGGCCATCTGGGGTGGCAGGGAAACCTGCCGTCCCTGGGAATATCAGAAGCTTTGGGAGGAGCCAGGCAGGGGGAATAGCAGAGCCAACTGACTGTAAAAGGGCAGCATGTTCACACCCATGTGCTGGTGTGAGCACCCGGGGCCAGCCAGCAGGAGTCTTGCAGAGAGCGCCTTTGTCTCAGGGCAAGCACGATTTCTGAGCCATCTGGAGAGCGTTTCCCCTTGGTCACTCGCAGCAAGTGTGGGCCTGCTGCTCGGCTACATCTTTCTCCAGGGGGATGTGTGTCTGATCTCTCTGCCCTTAACTCGGGCACAGCTCCTGCTGGTTCTGGGGAGTTTTGTGGTGGTTGGAACTGAGCAGGGACCGTGGGCCACAGCCTGTTCTGCAGTGCAATGTCCTGGAGGGTTTTACAAACCAGACGGACGCAGCTTCTGGGTCATACAAACAGGGGAGTGGGTGCAGAGGCGTGGGTGAGAGAGACAGACAGACAGACAGACAGACAGACTGTAGAGCCAGGACTGAGAAGGGCGACTGTGCATGAGACCACAAGTGCATTTAGGGGGTTTCAGGCAGCTGAGCAATGAGGATTCGGGTTCTTGTGGTATCAGTCTGCCAGCAGACGAGCCTGTATCCATCTTATTCCGAAAGAGGCTGAGCTAGAGTCCGACCTTTCATGGCAGGTGTGTTTATAAAGGTGTGCGCCAGCTGTGCGTAGCGCTACACCAGAGAACATGCAGTCCAGCATGTGGGGGCGCCCGCTGAGAAATCGGTCTCCTTGCTCAGCTCCCGCGGCCATCAGCATGGTGCACTTCTTCATCTCTACATCGAAATCTCTTCCATTTTCCGCAGGGATATGTCCCACCCGCCGCCTCTGCTGTCACCCCAGAGCGCCCCCCACATCACGCTAGGGCCTCACTTGAGACCTCCCTTCCTGGGGGTGCCTTCAGCTTTGTGCCAGACACCAGGTGAGTGCCCGGGTGACAGGCTACACACAGGAGGGCAGAGAGGGCCGCGTGGTAGCTCATTGCTGCTGCCCTGCCCGTGGCTCGGAATGTGCCTCCTGTGGCCATTCTGCTCCCCTGGGCCAGGTAGAGGGGAGCAGGCAGTGCCGTTTTCCTGGCCCCGTTGGTGTGCCTCGCCCCACAGCAGTGCTGTCAGAGAGCAGACGGGCAGCCTCACGGGGGAACGGCCTGGCTCTTGCAGCCTGGTGCGGAGAAGGGCGGATATCTGTGTCTATTGCACTGTTCAGCCTGACGGAGGCGGAGCGGCAGGAATGGAGTCAGCCCCGGGGGTGCATTACAGGAACCCCCTTTGGCATTGCTCGGGGCTGGTGAGGCGCAGGAAATCACACCTGTGCTGCGTGCTGGGATTGCAGCCAGCCCTGTGCCCCCAGCATGGGGAGGGATCTTTTGGCGGGAGCGGTGCCAGGGCCCTTCGCTGCACTGCTGGCCCCCGTTGCTGGCTTTGCAGAGCGAGCGGGCTGCCGTGTATCACCCTGCACATGTCCTGCATCTCCCTGCCCACAGGTTACGGGTTTCTCCAGCCGGCACAAGCAGAGATGTTTGCACGGCAGCAGGAGATGCTGCGGAAACAGAACCTTGCCAGGTATGGAGTTGGCCCCCAAAGGAGCCCTTTTCCTTGGGGCTAGATTTCCTTCCCCTTCTTGCCTTTTTCCTGGCTCCTGCTGCAACCTGGGTGCTATCGGGGAAGCCCTCCCTCTACAGGGTCAGTGCAGTGAAGGCAGCAACAGGGCAAACTTGCCCCACACAGAGTGCGCCTCGTTTAGCCCGCATGCCCATGCAGTCCCTGACTGCTCTGCTGGATTTTCTGATCGGAGTCCCTGGGACATGGCCTGAGACCACCAGACTTATTACTAAGGCCCTACCAAATTCATGGTCTTTTGGTCAATTTCAGAGGCTTTTTAAAATGGGAAATGTCATTATTTCAGCTATTGAAATGGCTGGCATGGTAGGATGCGGACACCTTCATTTCTGCACTGCTGCCTTTGGAGCTGGGCCCTTAGTTAGCAGGCACCACGCTGGCCACCCAGCTCTGAAAGCAGCAGCACAGAAGTAACGGAGACGTGGGTATGGTGTTACCACCCTGACTTCTGCCCTGCTGCTGGTAGGGTGCTGCCTTCAGCGCTGGGCACCCGGCCAACATTAAAATCACCGCTCTCCAGATGCCCGGCTCTGAAGGCAGTGTAGAAATAAAGGTAACAATACTGTGACCCTCCTACAGTAACGTGATCCTGCTGCAACTTCCTTTCTGGTCAGGACTCCCAGTCTGAGAAACGCTGGTCTCCTGCATGAAATCTGTGTAGTACGGTACAGGGTAAAAGCGCACAAAAGGCCAGATTTAATGGGAGGACACCAAATTTCACAGTCCGTGATGCGTTTTGCATGGCTGCGAGTTTGGTAGGGCCGTTAGTCTTCCGACGAGAAGGAGGTGAGAGTTTTCAGTTCTGCCTGCTGGCTTTGAACCCATGATGCAGGGGTGAAAGGCTCGGAAGCCCATCACCAGCATCCCTTAATCAGCCAGCCTAGCTGCTAGGAGCACGCTAATGAGCCCAGATCGCACAGGGGAGGACGGGGTGGGTGAACTGTAAAGCAGAGGTGGGGAATCTTTTTTGTGTTGGGAGCTGCTGACCCATAGAAAAGTCAGTCGGGGGCCGCACACAAGTAAGAAGAAAAACAAAACCAAGCCCTCACTGACATGGCCTCCGCCTGAGAAGGAGAAAGACTCTCCCCACGTTCCTCTCACACACCAGAGCCTAGGGGGGGCCCAGGCTAGTAGATTTTGTGTGCTCCAGCCCTGTGGGAGGATGGCAGGAGGCTGGAGCATCACCGCGGGCTCCCCAGTGCTGGGGGAGAGCCCCTAGCCTCAGGGGCTGGATCTGTCCGTGGAGCCTTAGGTTCCCCACCCTGTAATACTGAGTTGACCTCCTAAGACCCTGCTGATTTTTCTCTCCCTGTTTAGGCTTGAGATGTCGGCCGAGATCATCCGCCAGAAGGAGCTGGAGAATCTCCATCGGCAGAGGCTACTGGCCGGCGACCCGCTGAGCCTGCACCCAGGGCTACCGCAGGACCACCCAGCCTTGCGGAACGTGCACGAGATCCCCGAGGGGCACCCCCTGCGGGAGGAGCTCTCACGGAGGAACGCCATGCTGGTGCTCCGGCACAACAACACGCCGCTGCTGTCGCTCAACCACGGCGTCCCCAGCGCCACCCCGCCCAAGGAGCAGAGCCGGAGAGGGAGCCGGAAATCCGCGCACCACCGGGCGGAGGGAGCCCGCGGAGCCCCGGGCCCGGGACGGCGCGCCCGACTGCAACGACGAGGAGATGAAAGACTCGGAGAGCGATGCCGAAGTGAGTGACGAAAAGCCGGAGAGCCTGAAAGCGGAGAGCAGCAGCTCAGCCAGTGAACTCAAAGAGTGCAAAGAGACAAGCAAGGTCTACGAGGGGGCCAAGGAGCTGAGCGAAGTGGCATCTGGCCAGAACGCCCCCTGCAGCTCCTCCAGCACTGAGTCACCCAGCCACATGCTCGGCCCAGGCATCAACAAAAATGAGGTGAAATACCTCCCTCCGGCCTCCATCCCACCACCTCAGCCGCTGCCCTTTGGATTCCCGTATACAATGAGCCCCTATTTCCACGCAGGTAGGTGAGAGCCTCGTAGCTATGGAGGGGGCCGGTGTGGGATGGAGTCGTGGCCGAGTATCGATTTTATAGTATGTTAAGAATGGGGCTGCTATTCAGTTTGTCTTATTCACGGTGCATCCGTCTCTGTGGGCTTCGAGCATCTAGAGTTAAAACAATAACAAAAATGAATGTCAAGGGCCCAGCTCGAAACAAAGTAATTCAGAGGCCATGAAGAGATCGCTAATGAATCCAGAGATGGTACCAGGCTGTGGGGAGCCACAAATACATCAGAAGGGGAATGGGCAAATACTAGACCCAAGTAGAAACGGCCCTTGGATGGCGCAGTATTTAGGAAGAACATGAGAATGGCCATACCGGGTCAGACCAAAGGTCCATCTAGCCCAATATCCTGTATTCCGACAACAGAAGCTAGAGTTTGCTCCACAGGGAATGAACAGTACAGTGATCCATAAGTGATCCACTGCCTGTTGCTCATTCCCAGCTTCTGGCAAACAGAAGCTAGAGTCACCATCCCTACCCATCCTGGCTAATAGCCATTTATGGACCTAACCTCCATGAATTTATTTAGCTCTTTTTTTGAACCCTGTGAAAATCCTGGCCTTCACAACATCCTCTGGCAAGGAGTTCCACAGGTTGTGTACCACGTAAAGAAATACTTCCTTTGGTTGGTTTTAAACCTGCTTCCTGTTAATTTCATTTGCTGACCCCCTAGTTCTTGTGTTATGAGGAGGCGTAAATAACACTTCCTTATTTACTTTCTCCACATCAGTCCTGATTTTATAGACCTCGATCATCCCCCCCCCCTTAGTTGTCTCTTTTCCAAGCTGAAAAGTCCCAATTTTATTAATCCCTCCTCGTATAGAAGCTGTCCCAGACCCCTAATCATTTTTGTCCTTTTCTGAACCTTTTCTGCTTCCAATCACAATAAGATTCACATCTAAATGTTTCTGAAGACGAATTCTTGCCCCCTTGGGTATGTAAGTGTGCTTGGCTGGAAGCGGCTGTGTGCTGAGCAGTTGATGCTGAGACGTTGGGCTGAGTATCGGCAAACCTAATGAGACAGTGGTGGGAAAAATGCCATGCTGTGTTGGGGGCTGGATGCATAAGCATGACACCCTCACAAAGCAGAGGGAACAGTCTACGCGGAATTGGCTGGACCTTATTTGGAAACCTCCGTTCAAGACAGACATTGATAAATTGGAAGGGGTTCCAGGGAGGGGCAGCAAAGATGATTAAGGGGATGGAGGGATTGACCTGTGAAGGGAAAAGGCTGGGAGAATTAAATATGTATACCTGGGCTACAAGACAACTGGGCCTGTGGAGAGGCAGGATCCAGTAGCCAGGGCCGGCTAAAGAGTTTGCGGGGTCCAAGGCCACATGGCTCCCAGTCAGGGCAGCGAGTGAGCGGCCAGGTGGGCGGGCCTGGGAGCTGGGTCCTGAATGCGCAGGGCCCAAGGCCACGGTCTCACTTGCCTTGCCCAAAGGCCAGGCCTGCCCGTAGCCCCCTTTGTGTTGGAAAGAGGGGCAAGGGCTGCCTGGGGCGCTTCCAGGAGACGTGCCCAAATGTATCCAGACAGAGATGAAGAAGGGAAAGCTTGTTAGGGTGGGCGGCTGAAAACTAGACTCGGGACAATCCCTCAAGGTGCTGCATAGCCCGTTGCTCGAGTTACTGCTAGACATGCTGCTCAGGAATGCACTGCAGGGAGCAGCCGTCTCCAGGGAGTTTGTGGGACCAGGCGAGGCCAATGCCGGCCCTTCTGCTGCCGACCTCCAAGCTCTCCCCGGCTGCTGGGCTTCCCAGCTGGCTGCCAGCCCCTGCTCCCAAGCTCCCCTGGGCTCTTAGTTGCCGGCCCTCCTGCCACTAGACTCCCAGCTGCTGGGGCTCTCTGGTCCAGGAACAGTTGCTGGACCAGAAAAGAGTTTCAACCTGATTTTCCATAGTTTGACAAGATATGGGGCTGGGGCTAATTGACCTGGGGTCCCTGGGGCATCTGCGGATGCCAGGCAGCGTACCCTCCTGCATGTGGCCCCAGCCCTTTGGGACAGAGATTCAGGAGGTCCACAGACCTATCACTATTCCACCTCCCTGGCCATCGCTTGCTCACAAAGTCATATGTTGTCACCTGAGTGTGTTCCCATGGCAACCTCCGTATACCGTAGAGAAATCTCTGGTGTTTTATTAACTTTAAGCTTCGGCAAGGGGCCTTGGTGGAGCGGGGGCTGTTGATTTGCCCCCAGCTCTGTGCAGACAGAAGAAGCAGGTCAGGACAGAGAGGAGGGGGATGTGTGCAGGGATGGGGGATGTATTAATACTCAGGTCGTCACCCAGCCAAGAGGCACTGGAGTGGCTGACCCCACCAGCTGTATTCCTCCACCAGGAACAGCAGCTAGAAACCGCCACTCCTCGGTGGTTATTACCATGTGCCCATCTGACCCCTCTTCTGGCAGAGGTGAACTCTTGCCCCTGTGACCTTCCGCTGCCTTTCCGAAGGAGGGGGCTGGTGGTTTGGAATCCAACCAGCCTGCCCCCCAGCAGCAAGGTTTAAGGAAAGCAACGGGGCCACACACGTGAAATAGAGCAGTCACTGAGGTGACCGCCAGCCCGCAGGAAAGCATGGTCCCTGCAAGGCTCTTACAACGGGCTATGCATCCCACAGCATGCGGAGGGAGGTGAGCACCGCCCAGGAACACCACCAGCTCACTGGTGCAACATACAGATCTGTGAGTAAAGGCTGTCCCAGCATGAGGTGGGACTTAAACTCGGAATCCCAGCCTGCCCAGGTTGCTGGCTTCCTGCTAGCTTACCAGGAGCCATCGAGAGACGCATATTCTAATTCCTTAGCTGGACCATTAGCAGGAGCTAGATGCTGTGTCCTGGGAGAGAGGGAGCAGGGCCGGGCTCCTCCGTTATAAATGAATGAACCGGGCAGGAGCAGTGCAGCTGCACACAAGACGTGGGCCATTCCGAGCCACCTTCCAGCAGAAGGACAGTTTCTGGATGACGGTAAAGTGGCCAGCATGACCCCCCCTGCCTCCAAGAGATGAGGCATCATCCTGGGCGCCTTCTCCTGGCAGGCGTTTAAAAAGGGAAACGCGATTCTGTGTCCCTGGCCACCCCATCTGCCTGGCAGAGCAGGGTGCAGATTGCATGGGGGGAGGCCATCCCTCTCAAACTCTCGGAAACTAGAATATGCCCGTTGTGGTTATTACTTATAATCAGGGCTGTGCTTAAACTGACCCGTCGTCTTTCTCGGTCCCCTCTGGTTTCAAGGACCATCGCATCGTGTTTCATTGCAGGAGGCCTGTCTTGCTGTAGGCTAGCACCCCATGTATTACTGCGAAAGTTGTGACTTGCATTGATAGCTCAGCAGAAATCAGGACCCTAAGGGGTGGGGGTGGAACTGAGGGCTGAAACTTCAAAGTGCTATCTGTATAGCTAGTGGTATTTCTCAGCACAGAAAGAATATCCATGCAAAATGTATTTGTCTTGGTGCAGAAGTTGCTGATCTTTCTGTCGTCTAGGAATTGCTAACAAGCTGAAAATGCATGAAACCTTTAAGCTGTGCAGAGGCAAGGAGTACTATGAGCTGTAGGTGAATTTTTATTCAGCAGTATTGATTGTTCTTTCTGGCAGACTTAGAACCATAGTGCCTTGTGGTTATGTTTGTTAAGGAAAAGTAGAGGTCAGTGAGAGACTTTGAGTCAATAAATCTTGATAAAAAAGGCAAAATCCCACTATGTACTGAGCTTGCAATGTGTGGGGGAGCTGCAGAGATTAGGAAGTGTTTCAGTTCAGACTAGAGCATCCAGGATAGAGTAGCTTAATGCTGAAGGGGAATATAAAAGTAGAGAAGTTTACCTGCAAGAAAGCATTATTAGTAAATAGTAAACAAAAATATCTAGTGGTAACATGAAGCGGCAGATAAATGTCAGGAAATGCACAGGTGTAGCTGTTACTGTCTTTATATCACCCTTAGTTAAGATAATAGCACTAGCTGCATGATGTTATGGCAGAGGTGGCTAATAAAATGGTGGCGGTTCACCAAGGTCAGCCCCTGGTGGCCTGCTGCCACTGTATTTACCTGAGCCTCTGCAGGTACGGGCGATGGCAGCTCTCGTTAGCCGCGGATCACTGTTCCCAGCCAATGGGAACTTCAGGAAGTGGTGCGGATCCAGACTCCATTTCCTGTAGCTCCCATTGGCCGGGAGTGGCGATCTGGGATCAACAGGAGCTGCAATGGCCCATACCTGCGGAGGTGCAGGTAAATACAGTGAAGGTGGCCCACCCGGGACTAACCCTGGGGAATCAAACCCAGCCCGCGGGCCCATATTTGCCCACCCCTGTGCTAGGGATGTGGCACCGTTAACCGATGAGTCTGAGCCTCTGATAGATGCAGCAGCACGGGAAAAGGAAGCAGGAAGAAGCTGATATTCATGGAGAGCAGACTTAAAAGCTGGCTCCCAAGAGAACCGGCTCCCGTCTGCTCCCCCACACACACATAAATAAGACAAGCCCATAGGAAGAATCTATCCTCCTAGACAATACAGATCAAGATTGGGGAGACAAACTGAGGCCCAAGCGACACTGAGGCCCGGGGAGCTGGGAATAGAACTCAGTGTCCTGAGCTGTACTATCTCTCACTCATCCTTATGCTACCGGTGTTTGGAGGCACTTCGACTAACCCGGGTCCCAGTAGTACAACCCCAGGAGGAGTTTGTGCCTGAGGATAGAAGAACAGCCATTTCCTTAACTTTTTCCTGTCCATGGGCTGCTCCTGTTGCTCACATAGGCCTGGGCACCATGGTAACGAGATACAGACCCTGTCTCAAGGAGCTGACAATCCGTAGAGGCTGCTGGCTTGACAGACCCCAGCAGACGGGGGAGAAGGGAAAGGGATGAGAGTAGGGGTCTCTGACAGTGCACCAGAGAGGGCTCCTTGCATGCTAGGGAGGCAGAGAACTGGTTTCTGTCCCCAATGGCAAAAATATCGACAGGC